CTGGGCAGTTTTGCTCTGGGGACTTTTTGCGACGGTTATTTTTAGCGCGGGTATGAGGGAGTAGGGAGAGGGTAGGGTGTTGCCTCCAGGTGCAAGAGTCTGATATGCGGGTAGAATGTTTTCATTGTTTTAGGGCCTCCTTACTGCCCTGTGGCCTAACAGATTATCAGAATTTATTAACGTTAGTGTTGCTGAAATCATTGTACAGCCCCCACTGCCAAATTCAGCTTAAAAAAAAAAGAAGACCATAACAGTCAGAGGAAAAATCAGTTAGTTTTAGGCATACTGCGTTTTTGGTGCCAGTGGGAGGGACATCGAGTATTTAGTGATGTTGGACTGGATATGAAGGCAGTTCTAAAGAGGAGAAACCTGAATGGCTACAGAATGTATAATAACATGTCTAACCTTACTAGGAGTCATGGAAATAGAAGTTAAAAACTTGAGAAGCGCTTCCCTATCTACTAGATTGGTACACTAAATTTATGAGAATACAAGAGAATAAGAATTCTTACTACTGGTTGTAGAGCCATTTGCTAATGTCTAATAAAGTTAAATTTGCATATATGTTCAGTGGCTCAGAAATTTCATTTATAGGTACTTGCCTTAGAGGAACTCTTGTATACACTCAAGAACTTTTATTGCAGTGGTGTCTATAAAAGTGAAAAAAGATAGGAGAACAGATAAATGATGGTATACAGTATCCTGGACTATTACACCGTAAAGTGGATGAACTGAATCTTCATAACATAAATCTCAGAAACATAATGCAGAGTGAAAGATAAAAGTTACATTTTGTTACTGTTGATGAAAAAATTTAAAACCCACATTGCATGCGTGTTAATGTTTTTATATGGGCATACACATATAGAGGAATGTGAATTGGAAGAATACCTGCTGTTCTTGTATCTGTCCCTTCCTACCCACCTTTTTGCTTAGGTATTTTATTATTTATTTATTTATTTTTGAGACAGAGTTCACTTTGTTGCCCTCAGTAGAGTGCTATGGTGTCATAGCTCAAACTGACCTCGAACTCTTGCGCTCAAGTGATCCTCTGGCCTCCGCCTCCTGAGTAGGTGGGACTGCAGGCGCCTGCCACAACACCTGGCTATTTTTAAAGACTGGGTCTTGCTCTTGCTCAGGTTGGTCTTGAATTTGTGAGCTTAAGCATTCCTCCCACCTTGACCTCCCAGAGTGCTGGGATTATAGACATGAGCCACTGTGCCCAGCCCTATTCAGGTATTTTAAAGCAAATCCCAGAGATCATGTTTCTGACAGAGATTTTTAAAAAATGCACAAAGCCCACTACTTTCATATCCAGTAAAATTAAAAATAATCCCTAGTAAAATCTAAGACTAATTTTGTTACTTTTCTTTGTCTCAAAGTTGTCTTTTTAATAGTTTTTTTGTTCAAATCAGAATTCCAGCAAAGTTCACACATTGCATTTGGCTCAATATCTCTAAAAAAGTCTCTTTTAAGGAATGATTTTTATTTGTTTTAAACAGAAGTATTATGATTTTACCTTTTCTTTTTTGAATAGATTAGAACCGTCAGAGAGTCTTGAGGAAAACCAGCGGAACCTTCTTCAGATGACTGAAAAGTTCTTCCATGCCATCATCAGTTCCTCCTTAGAATTCCCTCCTCAGCTTCGAAGTGTGTGCCATTGTTTATACCAGGTATGCTCAAAGTTAGAGATTACCATTATTAATCGAAACCTAAGTTAAGAATGCTTATTTACCAAAGGGGGATTTAGCTGCTGATAGGGGATGGTTAACTATAATACTAAGTCAATTTGGATGAATAAGTAAAAATTGTTGTTGGAAAGGACCTTAAAAAAACTTAAATATTGTTTGTGGGATAGTTTGAAGTAAAAGAATATTTTAACATATTAGGAGTTCCTTGCATTGGGATTAAGTTTAAAATGTGCTAACTATTGGGTATGACGGATGTGGCTGAAATGAGATATATTATGGAATTATAATTATTTTGGTTATCTTTTGCCTAAATTACAGGGCCTTTTACACATGAGGCAGGTATACTCCTTGCTTTTTGCTTGCTTTGTAATTTGATTTCTTCATTAAGATAAAATTGGTTTGTGTCAGGTGTATTATATGTAGAGTGTTGCTTGTAAGATTATATTACATCTTTATTCAGACCACATTATTAGACTTTCTATCACTAGCATCCCAAGTAATCCTTCTGAACTCATATGTCCACAGTCTTAGGTCTGTGTTCTTTTATGGCGTCTGCTGTGTTTTTAAATTGCGTATGCAGTTTTAGGAATGATTTGTTTTCAGGGGAGTTCCTGCAAATTCACAATTGTGGAAGAAACATTAATGGGTCTGGAATTTGGGATGGGGGTGGGTATAGGTAAAAAACTTACACACTTTTCCCCAAACCTATTCCTTTGTCTCTCTCTCTTTGCAGAGTCATCTCTAGCTATTTGGTTTTTTAGCACACAGCTTTAGTTGCTTAGAGACATTAACAACTTCAGTGAAATCACCGTTTTAAAAACTGTTTGAGACTGCTCTGTATGAAATTTTTTTTTCCCATTGCTATTTTTAAAGATGCATCTGCTCTATCTAAAAAAAACATTTTGCAGTATACATAGATGATAAACACACTTAACAGGAATTCTCTCTTAATTTTTTATGACATTTCTACCTTTTCAAAAAATTTCAAAGAAGCTTAGGAAAGCCCTACATACTTTTTCCCAGCTATTTAAATCTGAGTCTAGAGGGTCATTTAGTTAGAACATGAAATTTAATATGGTAAGTAGTATCTTGTCTTAAATTTGGGTCTTATTTATTTGGTTTTCTTTTTTAAAGTAATTTAGTAATTTTTCTGTTTATAAAACTAGGCAGGCAGGAAATGGCATATATTAAAAATAGTCTAATAGTCCAATAAGTCTTGGTTAGCTTAGTAGCAACTGGTTTCAGAGAGCAAATAGATTTCTAAAATAACAGTGGTTTTGACATTAGCAAGTTTAAAATCAATAGGGGACCAGGAGTGTCGGCTTGGTTCATGCCTGTGATCCTAGTGCTTTGGGAAGCCAAGACAGGAGAGTCCCTTGAGGCCAGGACTTCGAGACTACTTTGGGCAACATAGTGAGACCCTTATCTCTACAAAAAAAAAAAAAAAAATTTGTTTTAATTAGCCTAGTGTGGTGGTGCACACCTGTAGACACAGATACTCAAGAGGCTGCGGTAGGGGGATAGCTTGAGCTCAGGAATTTGAAGTTGCTGCGAGAATGAACATGCCACTGCATTCTATCCTGGGCAACAGAATGAGACCTTGTCTCTTTAAAGAAAAAAAGAGGACTAACTACCTGATTACATGGTCTAGTGGATTTTAGCAGAAATTCTTTACATAGTTGTCATACTAAAAAAAAAAAAAAAAAACTTTTAATCATCAGCAAACTTGGATACCACTTTGAGATCATCATTTTAATAATATAAAAGAAACAGGGCTTGACACTTAGTAAATTCTTAGGAAATATTTAATGAAGGAATACATTTTCCTGTCTTTTCATCCCAAGGAAGGTTCTTGCCAGGTTCATAGGTAGGGAGAAAAATAGGGAAATTAGAAAATAAATAATTGGTAACTTATTAAATGCTATCTGCTGTGCTTTTTTGAGTACTTCATAACAAATATCCTATATTATTCACAACATGAATGAAATTACTCTCTTTCAAACATTATTTAAATGTTGTTCTAACACATTATTTTTGAAGTATGGGGTGAATTTAACATTGTTGGGGATTAAAGTACTATGGGGCAAAGGTACGCTATGCTATTTGTAAACAGGATTTTGTCTTTTAATAGTGACTAATGGAATTTTACATTCACTAATCAGAGAGAAAGCTAGAAAAAAAGGTTTGCTCTCTAGATAATCCTTTGTTGAAATTCCTTCCAAACCCAGTTTTTCTTTTTGGTTTGCTCTTTTGTTTTTATTCATCTTCCCTTTTCTGACTTTTTCTTGCCCTTTGACTTTGGCAGTAACATAATGGTACTTTTGTACTTTTATGTTCTGCTGGGAGAGATAGTACTCTGTTTTTTGGGTTTTTTTCCTCTAGTAAATGTTGCTTCTTTGAGACTTAGTGGGTAAATTTTGAAAGCTAAGTGAGTATATTGCTAGCTGTTAAGCTTCCCTGAGCTTTAGCTCTTTTCACTTGAGTTCCTATTTTGGCCTTTACTTTTTGAGTCATGCTTTAAAAAGCTCTATTACTTTATGTGCCTTCCATATTTAGTCACCAGGTTAAGTGGAATAGCCAACTGGGAATACATGTTAGGTTTATAAGTAAGTTATTTTCTCATGTATTTGTTTACATTTTTCCTCACGATAAGTTTCAGTATGAAGAGAAAATAATTCCCAAAGAGGATATTCTCTTATGTTATGGTGAGAGAATTCTGAAAATGTTAGAATTCTCAATTGAATGTCATCTTTTCCAAGTAAATCTGCTTTTCCAAACTGAAATAGTTCACATAAGTTTTTAAGGCTATAATGATAACTGCGTACTATAATAAAACAAAAATACAAAATTGCATTTTTATGATATATATGGTTAGTAGTACTTTTGTATATAGTCTAAAGTTGGAACCAAAGCTCCGTGAAGTAAGAGGTGATACTGTCTTCTTTACTGCTGTGTCCCAGTGCCTAGAATGTCCTCTGGCTTGTAGGTGCACGATAACTACTTGGATGGATGGATGGATATCGAACTAACTTTAAGCTCAAATTATGAGTTATGGTGTTGAATGCCTAGAATTCCTAAAACAAGATACCATGTGTTGGTGGATTAAAGAATTCTAATTTGGTTTTTAAAATATTTTTTAAATTATTGTTCTGCCTAGTCTAATTCAATTAGAGGTCTTTTAATTTTGAAAGAATTTTTTTTTGGTCTAAAAGGAATTCTGAAAGATGAAACCAAAATGTCTCTACTGGCTTTTTTTTTTTTTTTTTAAGAGACATTCTGATAAATGGTCATCTATAATACCTGAAAAGTTTTAAACAGGCTTATAATTTTATTCTGTAATTTTCTCTATTATTAATTAATGCTTTTTTCTAGTTGAGCTGATAACATACTTCTCCCAAATGTTTTAGAGCTTTTAACCATTTCAGGAATTAGCATGCAAACATTGAAAAAATCTGTGAAATTTTAAGAGCAAAATTTTTTAGGGAGAGATATTTTAAATTCAGAATCTCTAAAGTGAATTCTTCCAGCATATTTTGCTATTTAATTTTTATTTCATTAGTGAATAAAATCTTAATTAAATGCCAGTTATTAAAAACTTAGAACTCTAAGTCAATTGAAGGATACACAGAGAAATATTTTACATAGCTAGAAAAAATTATGTAGACACAAACGTTTTTAGTGTGTGGTCTACTTGTAATGTAAATTTATCAAAAGCTAGGGATTAAATAAAATGTAAATTTTAACATCCTCAAATTCACTCAGGGAGAGATTTTCATGATTCATAGCCAGAAATAGTAGACATGATTGGGTCTCAACATTTCTTGCTATTTTAGTGCTTGGCTTAAAACTGTGATAAAAATTAAAACCCAGAATTAAAATTCATCCCTCAAAATTGAGTTGATTTCTAATTTTTTTTGTTGATTCCATTTGTTTTACATTTTATTGTGTAATTTTATGTACAAGCCAACATTGTTTTTGTTGCTGTATGTAGTCGGTGCTGTGACTTGTTTGTGCTCATCTCTGTTCTGTAGGCAACTTGCCACTCCCTACTGAATAAAGCTACAGTAAAAGAAAAAAAGGAAAACAAAAAATCAGTAAGTTTGGAGACCTTTTTATTAGCTGTTTCTTTCAAAGCAAAACAAAAATCTTTTGCTGTTTGTTAAAAACATCTTCACTTCAGCCTATTTGACCTTCACTGTAAAATCATTCTACTAATTCTGGCACAAAATAGCTTTCATTTCAATTAACCCTGGAATTAAGTTACATTGAAACATTCTCTGTGTTCCTTTGGTTTGATTTATTCCAAAGGCATTTTGTGGGCATTTGTTGCATTGGATATCCTTGGTCTAATTTTATTATTGTTATTTTTAGAATGATAAGTGAATGCAAAAGAAACTTAATTTCAAGGCCTTAGAAACTGCTGACTCCCTTTATTCTTGCTTCCTGTTTGCAAGTGATGTGAGTAGTTTCTTTGCCTAGAGGTGAAAGGTTTTTGGTAATTTTTAAGTAAATGGCAAGAAAGTGTTACTTTCTGAAACCTAAAAGTTGCTAAATTTTATTTTTTACTCCTTATAATTTTATCTAGACATTGTCAGCCAGAATTTAGATATTTGTGCTTAGATTATAAAAAATCTAATGGTAAAAGAACCTTTACCTTAGAGAAAATCTAAGGTAAATTGTAAGAACTCAGTAAGTCTATATTTGTAGAGAAACACCTCATTTTGCATACGTGATATGCCATAATTTATTTAAAAGCAAGTGATGATAGTCATAATTATTTTCTTCTAGTGAATGGAATTGTCCCCCAAATATAACATGTATGTATAACAAAATATAACACTCATACACTTATATATAACACTTTAAATTTGCCATTATCTTTCAGTATAATTTATACATATCAAGTTGAATCCTATCTTTGTTTTCCTAATTACAAAATATTTGTTAAAGATATCCAAATGATTGTTAGCAAAAGAAAACTTTAAGGGGTCATGTAGTTTTCTTAAAAAGGTATAATTTAGAATTTAGTGTTCATCTGGTTTCATCTTTCATTCCTTTCTAAGCTTTATGTATAATAAAGCTTTATATATAAATTGTCCAAGCTTTAAATGTAAATTCCTGTTGTGAATTCGGAACAAAATTAAAATTTAGAGATACATGCTTTTATTGTGTCCATTCAAGATTTCATTTTTGAGTAAGTTAAGTAAATTTATTCATCTGTGAACAAATGGATTGGATAGCTTTTTTCTTAATAAAGACATCTCTTTCTAATGCTTCAGCCTTCTAATTCTCAGCATATGTGGGTTTAACACAATATACACCATCACTATTGAAATTAATTTACTTTTTCTAACCCTCTTGTTTGGTGTTATACTAATACCATTGTGTAGTATATCACATAAATTAAAATTCAGACTTTGTGTTTCTCTAGAGCATGTTTTCTAGCCTTCCTAACATTGCTTTATTTATTAAGATTTTATTTAAATTTGTTCCTTGAACTTTTTTTTGTACTAGAGTTATTTTCAGATTTTTAAACTTTCTGGGTAACACTAAGTTTTGGAATGTATTTCTCAGCACAGGTGATGGGAGCTCCTCATGGAAACAAGGGGGATATCATGGGTAATTTGAGATACTTTATAGCACATTCCAAAATAGAAAAATGGAATGGAATAGTCATTATAAATTTAAACTGTTGTTTTATGGAGTTGTTTGCTTCACAGGATCTAATGATCTTTTCTTTTAAGAGCAGCTGACTTTCTTTTGAGGTATGCATCATGGATTGGATATATAGAGAAGTTTCTGGCTTCTTGTGTAGTTGTATTATAGATAATCCCATTTATTATACTCAAACATACAACATATAATTAGATTTACTTTGCTAGTTAACTGCCTAATTCAGGGAGAATTTTCAATAATTAATTGTGTATGGGTAGTTAATGTACAGCTTCTAACTGCATTTATTTACATTATGTAGTTCAGCTTTTTTTTTTTTTTTTT